TCACTGCTTCATCAATACTTGACAAGAAGTAATTTAAGGGAAGAGTTTTGACTCACAGTTTAAGGGTACAATCCATCATGGTGGGGAAAACATGGAGGTTGCTTGCTCATCTCTGGGAGGATCAGGAAACAGATGAGTGACAGTGGCACAGGCCTTTAATCCCAGCCCTCGGGAGACAGGTGATCTCTGTGAGTTTGAGGCCAGCCTGATCTACATACTGGGTTCCAGTGAGTTGGAGGCCAGCCTGGTCTACCTACATACTGAGTTCCAGGACAGCCAGGACTATATAGAGAGACCCTGTCTCAAACAAACAGATGGGGGTAGGGTATTTGTGCTCAGCTCCCTTTCTCCTTTTTCCTGTTTGATTCCATCTGAGACCTAGCCCATGAAACGGGACCCCTGCTATACAGGTGTGTCTTACCCCTTGTTACTTCTCCCTTACCTCACTGAATTACTGAGCATTTCTTAATTTAATCCAGTTGACAAAACCATCACAAGTTCATCCTTGGCAATCGATACCCAAGCACATCACTTAAAGATTTACTTTTATTGGTTTTCAAATGTGTGTTAGTTTAGGTATGTGCACATGAGTGCAGGTATCCATGGAGGCCAGAACCATAGATTGTACCCAAGTTTCTTATGTTGAGAACTACTGTAGAGAAAAATACTGTGTCGGATGGTAGTGGCACACGCCTTTAATCCCAGTACTCGGAAGGTAGAGACAGGCAGATCTCTGAGTTCGAGGCCAGCATGGTCTACAGAGCAGGATCCAGGACAGGCTCCAAAGCTTCCTGGAGAAACCCTGTGTGTGTGTGTGTGGGGGGGGGGAGTGAGTATTTCAGGGGCTGGTGTGGTGGCTCAGTAGTTAAGAACACTTGTTGCTCCTGTAGAGGACCTCGGTTCAATTCCAGCGCCCACATGGTGGTTCCCAACCATCTGTAACTCCAGTTCCAGGGGATCCAATGCTATCTTCTGACCTTCACGGGCAGTATATACACATGGTCCACCTACATACTCGTATACTGTGGCCAGTATATTTTGAAATTTAGTATTTCGTTTTTTTT